AAGACACGGTTCGACAACAAGTGTTTTAAGATGCAAGCTATAGCTAAAGCGTCGAACATCATGACTTCGAGACACGTGTACAAACTGAAGTTCGTGAAGAACGAGAAGGGCGAGATGGAACGTACCATCAGACTACGCCCGGTACTCCGGGGCTTCATGGGCCCTGAAGCCTTCGGGAACAGCTCGACGGCCAAGCCAGAGGCTCCTCGCCAGCACGGCAGCGTGCAATAAGCAATGGATCATTGCTTCCCTCGACATCAATATGGAATTCCTGAAGGGGTTGACCTATCAAGAACTTGCTGAGGCTACTGGTGAAAAGGAACGCGTGGCGTGTTTTACTCTGCCGCCTGCATCGGCCACAGTGCTCCGAACTCTCCCAGGATTCGAACACTACGACGAGTCAAAGCACTGCCTGCAGTGCTTGAAACCAGGCACGGGCACCAAAGACGCACCAAGGGCTTTCTCACCAAAGCGCAGATGGACCACCAGAGGCTTCGGTCTCCGACCCACGTCCTACGACGAGGAGTTCGAGACGAGCAACAACTTGCTCACGGCTAGACACGTCGATGATATCAACATGGCCGGCACTGAGGACAACATTGACAAGTATGTCAAGTGCGTAGAAGACATGTTTGGTATGTGTAAACTCAACTAGCGTGTGAGATACACCAAAGACGAGGACGCGAATGTCACTTTGGACCAAGATTAATACATCAAACAGCTCCGTCCTATACAACATCCTGAACATACCGGCGCCGACGCTGACGCTCAGGCATCCAAGATGGTTGCAGACATGGTTGTCAGCCTCAGGGGCGCGCTGGCGTATGCATTAATCACCCAGGTATGGTTGATGGCGTATGCTGTATCTCTACAACGTGTCCAAGAACCGACCAACAACCAAGTGCGACGACCGAGCGCGATCACCAGGAAGCTACAGGCCTGCCCAAAGAAGATCGTCTACCAGGCGATGACTCCTACTGGCGAGGTCGACCTGCGCAGCGACTCTGGATACCGACGCCTAAGTGGAGACGCCGACGACGACGTCAAAGGCTATGGTATTCGCGGGGCAAACCTGCTCCGACGTGGAAACACGTCATCCGGCAAACCTGTCGCTCACTTGATCGATGCGCAGTCTCACCGCTTGCAGGCCCGCTCGAGCTATTCAACAGAGACACTAGCAGCAGCCCACAATTCGGAGGACTGTTATCCCACGATTGTGACTCTGCACGAGCTCCACGCAGGGCCGCTCACGCCCACCCAGTCGAAAGATTTACTTGAGTTGGGTGGCCTGAGCATCAAGGTCACTTTGACCATAGATGCTGAGTCTGTTTTTAAGTCTTTGTCAAGCAAAGACTCGAAGAAACCGACTGAGTGTACCCTTTTAGGACACATCAGTTGGATACGAAAGATAATGGAGCGATGAATCGCGCACAGCATCCAGCGGCGCGACACCCGCGACATGACCGCGGATGGTCACACCAAGGGAAGCATCGACAGAGAAATGCCCCTACAAGTCATGGGAGGCATACAGGCCTTCAAACATGACCTTAAGAGTCATACTCCATATCGGGCCGGCCAGACATCCAGTTCTGACGGCGCCTGAGGAGTACTTCAAGTACAGAACTGTACAAGCAAGGCAACTTGCGAGCGGGCCCACCTTCCTTCTGGCCCGCTCCTTTTTCCTGTCCTTGTGTATATTAGCTGCTGCGCCTGCTGTATAGGGGCGACGGGCTCACGCTTCGCCCCCCCCCCCCCCCCCCCCGACTCTAAAGCGAGCTGGGGGGCGGAAGGAGCGGAAGCGAGCGTGCGCCCGCGGCCGCGTCGGCTCAAGCGGCCGGCCGCCCAAATATGACTGCGCCTCACCGCGAGGTACACAATCGCTATCGAGCCCAATAGGATGGCACATCCTCTCCCACTGGGACTATTGTTACTACGGTACAACAGAGCTGGAGGTTGGCTTCGCCTACGGCGAAGCTGCTGGCTGGGCCTCCCAGCCCCTTTCAAACTCCTCCATGCTCCCATGGCACGTTCGTCCGAGGCAAAGGGGGGGGGGGGGGTCAAATCTCCGGTTCGGGGCCCTTGGGAGGGCTATGGGGGTGGGGGGGGGGGGGGGGGACAACCTCACGCGCCTAGAGACCCACAGGGGGTCGGAGGACTATAGCATGACACAGAATGCACCGTGCTGACATAAAGTAGAGCATAGCATACCTATACGACCGCCCTGCGGGCGATAAGGAGGTTGGGGGGGATTGAGATCAAATGCCCACCCTGACTGACCTCCAGCCTGCCACCTTGATATCATCTCTCTCTTTATCTATGTTTCTCTCTCTCTCTCTCTCTGTTTCTCTTTTTTTTTCTCTCTCTCTCTTTCTCTCTCTCTCTCTCTTTGTTTCTTTCTCTCTCTCTCTCTCTCTCTCTCTCTCTCTCTCTGTGTTTATGATGGATTGGGTTGGGTGAATTGGATTGGATGGGATAAGATGGATTGGATCAGATAAGATGG